TCCCCGGGCGGCCGCTATTAATTACTCCATTAGCGTTAGGGATGTACAACCTCTCGGACAGTAAGGCACCGATCAGGATTTCTCCAGATGAGATGCTGTATAAATATAGGCAGGAAAATGAGTTTCTGGGGGAGCCAGGTCCCCGGCCAGTTGCCTGGACTGGGGACAGGGAGTGGGACACACTGAACACAGGCAAAGTCCTGCCCCGCTGCCAGGCAGTGGGAGCCCGCCGACGGCTTTGGCGGGGGTGCGCGAGCGCTCCAGCCGTGAGCTGCACAAACAGCCGCCCTAAACGATCGCACACTAAGCAGAAATCAGTGCCTTGAGCCAACAGCCAGTTAAGTGCTATAAATAAAGCTGTTATCATCCCTGCCTCGCTCGCTGAGCAAGCTGGGCCACAGCACTTCCTCCCCAGCAGCGTTTAAGGGTGATTTCTAGCCTGGAGGAGGCCAGGAGCTTGTCAGCATCCACAGTTCAGTGGCCTTTTTCCATCCTGCCATTGATTTTGCACTTGGCCAATAAATCCACCGGTTGCTTGCCCTGTGCACGGGCAGGGGACAGGGCTGGCACAGACATGGCCACTGTCCCAGACAGGGAGACCTGTGTTATCTCAGTGGCCTCTTCCCAGCTTACCTGGGTCCCAGGAGGGCTCAGAGCCTCTGTCCTCCTCCTCCTGCTGCTCTGATCCCTGTTTCGGGTCCCTAACCCCAGCCACCACTGCTCCGCCTCTGACCTGGCCCCACAACCCTGCAGTAAGCTGCCTGTGCTGCCCTGGCTGAGAAGCTGGGAAAGGATGGCTCTGTCCCCAGGTGGTGGCCAAGAGACATGGCCCAGCGTGACACAGGGAGGTCCAGGTCATGCTGGTGGGAGGAGAGCAGAGAAGAAATCCGGGCAAGGAGGAGGGAGCAGGAAAAGGGATGGGCATGGTGATGGGAGAGGAGCTCCTTTCCCACTGGGGATGAGGGCTTACGGGTGGAAGCCTGAGCAGAGGATGGAGGCAGCTCACAGGCGTAGCAGCACGCTGAGTCCCTGCAAGGATGGCACATGGTGTCCCAGCTCCTCCTAAATCAACCTGAGGGAAGGATCGTGCTCAGGGCATGCTCCCCAGGAGACAGAGAGGCAGAGGAGGGAGAAGGCTGCTGCTTTCCAGGGCTTGAAGACTTTTCTGTCTCTGTTTTGGTGCCGGTTAATGATGCACGGCTGGGGCTGTGAGGAGAGCGTGGAGGGGGAGGGCAGGATGGAGGAGGAGGGGGGCCCATATGGAGATGCTTCTCCCAGAGAGTGGCAAGATGCTGAGCTGGCGTGAGATCGGGAGCTCACCGAGAAGTCGGCTGTTAGAGCCAAGCAATCAATATGTGAAAATCCAGCCCAGGCGAGGAAGGTGACCTTGAGCGGCAGAGAGACGGAGGGAGGAGAGCTGCATGAATTACAGGGAGATGGTCTCTGGGTGAGGGAGGAGGGATGGAGGGGAACGAGAGGGACAGGGAGGACATGAGCCCTCGGCTTGGCTGCTGCAGAGCCTGCTGTGTGCCCTGGGAGAGGGCAGCCGCGGATCCAGCCAGAGGGGACGAGGGGAGGGAGCTTTGTGCCTGGAGTTAGTCTGGTCCTCCCTGTCCATCCCTGCACACCCTGTACCGAGGGGGACGCAGCTCCTTGCGTGTACAAAACAGTCTGGGAGCATCCACTCGTCTCATCCATCCCCTCCGACCAGGACTGTTCTTGGTGCTCCCCCCACCCCGCATCACTCCACTGTCTCCAGCAGTGGGGCTGCCACCGTTTCCCATCACAGACTACTTGGAAGCCCCGCAGCTCCTGCTGTTACTCAGCAAACACTCCCGAGATCAGAGCGACGCTTTGCCTTTGCACGGATCCAGCTCACGGCTTCTAACATGGGCCCTGCGCTAATTCCTCTCTCCGGCTGCTCAGCTCCCTCCCCTGCTGCCACCTGGGTCTGCTCCTCTGCTGCCTGCTGGCCCCCTGAGCTGGGCTGAGGCCGTGCCCGTGCAGGCTGGCAGAAGCAGCACGTGTACCTCAGCAGAGATGCACAGTCCCTTGCATGCATATATGCATGGGACAGGCTGTGCAGCCCTGTAAAGCCTCTGCCGCAGAAATGGCTTAAAATGCAGGCAGGTCCCAAGGCCAGGCGGTGACCCTGCCCCTGGGGAGCGGCACAAGCAGCGGCATCAGCTGGGCAGAGCTGCAGACACCGGGGGCTGGAGAGGAGCCAGGACTCCCAGCTGCCCGGCCACAGCCGAAGGCAGACGAGCGGTGGGCAGCCAGGGCAGCAGAGGGGTGGCTGGGTCTCGGACACGCTGCCAAGCCAGGCTGAGCTGGAGCAGGGCTGTCCTGCTGGCAGGAGGGCTCAGCAGAGCCCCTCTGATGCCCACTGCTGTCTCCAGCCCCGGGGAAGGCTCTGTGCCTCCACTCTGGCTGCAGGGCAGGATCCATCCCACCACTCCGGGGTGCTCGGGGGGAGCCGGGGGGCAGCCGGCCCCCATGGAGGGATGAGGCACTGCAGCAGGGTGGGTGAGGGCTGCGGGGCCAGCAGCAGAAGGGGGTTGCTGTCCCCTACACAATACTGCAAAGACAGGCGTCGGGTTCTTTCCCCACCTTGGCAGCAGCAAGGACACGAGAGCACGGTTCATAACTGCACCGGCAGCAGAGCAGAGCGGAGCCCCCAGCAGGCCCC